AAAGCTTTGTATGAAAAATGCTATGCTAAAGAGCTCAAACCACACCGGGTGTCCACCGTTTGGAGAACTGAAAAAAATGAAGGACAGACAACCCATGTCACGTCAAGGGGCCTCCCTCCCATTTTTACTAAAGAGACATGCTGCTCACTCCCTCACTATCCATCCTTCAGTTCAGGCAGTCTTATACTGACATCCAGTGGTTGAAAAAAGGTACTACACACAAAACAAATTAACCAAAATTTCTACTTAAATTTGACAATATTAGCGTTTATCGCAATAATTTCTGAGAAAATTAATCACCCAGCAAAAGTTGTTATCGTGACAGGCCTAGTTTTAGTTACATGCATGGTGTGATTTCGAGGGGAAATGACTGTGTAGGCTTAATGCTCCGTTGTATGTTTCAGAAAGTTGAAATCTGAAGCCTACTCTGTTTAAAGGTTGTTTTTTTAACACCAGTGTTTTTTTTAAAGTTTATACAAACTGGTTTTAATTATGTCTGATCCTTAATTAAACCATTTTTCTTCTCAGCTGGAGTACTGTAATCACAGAGAGCTCAGTGGAAGGTGCAGACACGCTACGCAGGTCACATGTTCACAAGATCAAATTTATGTCAGAATAATCAAGTCTCCCTGCAGATAAGACGCACACCACCTCTCCTCAGCGTTCACAAGAAATGTGCTCTGGATGCTGCTTCCACCCAGATGTTTACAAAGATTTTTTTTTATTTTATTTTAACGCTTTCACTTCATCCAAATATGCTTACATCTAAATCTGAGAGCAAAGTTCATCCACGGCAAACGATCGAGAATGTGCAGGAGAAGAAAGTTAAACAGAAAGCACCTTACGGTTTTAAAAAGGTGAGTGCGTATTTATTTGCTTTAAATAAATTCTCAAACTTAAAACTTTATTACCGTCTAAATATATATATTTTACCAAACGGACAGAAAAGAGATTCAGTTGGCATGAGTACATTTCACAGTTATCTGTAGTAATGGTTGCAGATATATGTTGAAAATCATTATTGTGTCCTGAAAATATATTGTTAAGAGTTTTAAAGCATGCAGAACATGAAGTAAAAGTATCCATTTAAATGATTTAACGTTATTTGAACTTGAACTTCAAAAGAACAGCAGTAACGTTAAAAGTAGTAAAATGATCCACCTTACAAATGTTACATGTTCAATTTATGTTTCATCTTGTACTCAGTCACATCACATATATTGTCATTGTTGTGTAAAGTGTAAAATCCTTTTAAGTAAAGTTATATATAAGTAAAGGATAGTTGCAGAAGTTTTGGATATTTCTATCGAACATGTTCTTCACTTTAAAGTATATTTACGATACTTTATTAAATTAGCTGTGGAGCACCAAAGTTCATGCTCAATGATCCAGGTACACATCCAACAATGTTCAGTCAAGTTATCTGGATGGTTCCTTCTTTTTTTTTTTTTTTTTGCTGAGATATTTCTTCTTTCATCCAAAGGACTTCATCAGTCCAAGGAGCCACAAACAAACTGGAGTCCCGCAAGTACCACAATCCAATAGTGGATTTTTTTTTAATTCCAGAAGCATTTTCCAGAAACCATCTTATTACCAGCAAACTGTTTGTTTTGTTTTATTTCCACTATGGGAGTGTGCTGCTTGTGGGACTCCAGTTTGTTTGTGGCTCCTCGGACTGAAGAAGTCCTTGGGATGAAAGTCGAAACATCTCAGAAAAAAAAAACCATCCAGATGACCTGACTGAACATTGCAGTAGTTATTCACTTTTTTTAGAATTCAAAATAGTTTTACAGATCAGTTTGTAGATTCAGTTACTTCAAATTAACCACAGTATCATTTTGCATGCATGCTTTGCTTCAGGCTATCAGGGCTGGTGGTTGGTGTGAGATAAACATGGAGGTTAGCGTTTCCATTGCTAACTGTTTTTTATTCTTATCAGAGCAGACCAGAGCACCATCAAATACACTAAAACTGCATGATTTGGTGCTCAGACCAACTGGCAGCTGCAAGTGAAACATCTGAAAAAAGTTCCAGAAATTACGTCGTCATTGAAATTATTCTCAATTTAAATTTTTTCCAAGCTTTCTGAAGGACTTTGAAAGTAATTTTTTGTTTACTTTGGTTATGTTTGGACTCATTTCCTTTTTTATGCAGCACCGAAACACTTTCAGAGGAACATTTTATTTTTATTTGTTTTGTTTCACAAGCTTTTTCATTCTGATCAGTGAATCGTTTAAAAATTACAAATGTCTTAAACTTGTGTTGGTAAATTATAGACAACTTAGCTACCTAGCTACTTGGTAGCTAGTAACTTTAGACAAACAGCTTGGCACAAAAACACAATGTGTTCCTTTTTTTTACTTGTTGAATTTATGAAAAATGCAAAAAAGTTAAACAACAGGAAAATTTAGCTATCAGCTAGCTCGCTAAAAACTCTAGTGAGCTAGTAACTGCTAAAAAATGAAATAAACTCCGTCTTTGTTCAATTCAGTTTATTTATTTAGCGCCAAGTCACAACAGAAGTCATCTCAGGGTACTGAACAGAAACATTCATATATATGTTAACAAAAACATTTATAAAAATAACAATTTAACACTATTTATCTGAGGAGCGGACTGCTTTGAGTTTAATTTATGACGTGCTAATTGACATTCTCCGTCTTGCTAGTAACTTAAAGCTAAAAGCCGATTGTATAACAGTCTGTCATGAAAATAAAATCTTTTCCACTTTCTTTAGATGATTATGAGCTGATTATTTGTTTTGTTGACATTTTTCACAAAGAATAAACAATCTGAAAGCTAAGATACTAGCTAGTTTTTTGGCTATTAGCTAGCAAAGTATTTCAGCTAGCTACTAGCTAATAAATTGAAAGCTAAAAAAAAATCAATATAGAGTTGCCTGATAGAAATAAAATATTTTTCACTTTCTTAAGTTGATTCTATGAAAACGGCCGAAGAAAACAGTTTATCAGCAAAGCTACTAGCTAGCTACCCAGTTATTAACCAGCACAGTAGGCTACTCCAGCTAGCTACTAGCTAGCAACTTGAAAGCAAATAAATTTGATAGCTGCCTGTCTCAGACACAATTAGCTTTGATTTAGTTTTATATCAAATTTAACATCGTCTGACATGTATGACAGTATTTTTAGCACCAACAAAGTGATTCACAAAGAGCTGTTAACTAAAAATTTGGCCCACAGGATGATTCATCTTTCACTCTTCTTTTTTTATTTCCCTACATATCTTAAAAAGACAACTTCCAGGAGCTGTTGATTAGCTCTAAATAGTTTTATTTTTTTAATCTTAACGCATCTTTATTGTCCTACACGTGTCCACTATTTTAAAATTTTTTGACCAAATGGTGGTCGGGCAAGAAGTACTGGGCAGAAAATTATTGTTCAAAGTAACCAAAGTCCAAATGAAAACCTTTGAAGACCTTCCAAACCCCAGAACTACCAATCAAGCCCATTTTTTAACGTTTCCAAAAATGTCTGGAGGCTTCCATGTTGAATGTAAATAAATTAGCAGTGCTTTAACTTGTTCTTTGTACAATATGTTAGAAAAATAATTCTATTAGATGGAAACGTGTGCATGAAAGTTTGCAGCCAAAGTCAGAAAACCCTCGTTAGTTTCTGAGTCTGTCCTTGAACTATGATCCGTGACCCAACATGTCTCTCGGGAGAGTGGGGGAAATTCCCAGACCCCTCAAACCCCCCCACCACCACTATGGTCCCTCATTCCTTCTGTCCCTCCTCCCTCCGGACCAGTTGAGAAGTGCAGGTTTACCCCCCGCCCCCCCTTCCCGTCTCTGTTTCTGGCCTCCAATGCCCATTGCCACTCAAGCAGCGGGGGTCCGGAGCATTTGTCTCATAATTATCCGACTGGATAAGGAGGGGTTCTGAAGATGAAAGAGGCGAATCACAGAGCTCCTCTGTCAAAGGTCTGTCTCGCTGACGGGGGTGGGGGTGCTGGATCCATCCCTCGTTCGCTGCTACCCACCACCTTTTGCTCCGTCTCATACACACGCACGAGGTTTCCTCCACAGAGCGTAATCGCCAACAGGGAACGCTCGTGCGTGGCGCCCCCCTCCCTCCTTCTACCAGCCCCCCCACTGGTTCATTCACAACTACAAAACTGCAGGAATACCCCCCACTTTCACATCCTAAAAGACTTCGGATTCCCCTTTTTTCTTCTCACCCCCTTACAAGCTCCGCCCACAATCAAGCTAGCCGCCCACCTCACCCATTCCCCCCCACCACCACCTTTCTCCTTCCTCTCCTCTTAACTACTGGCTAGGAGTTAATGGACTGTTTTGGCTAGTCTCCAGACGGTGAGTGTCACCTCATTAGCCTATAGCGACTCGCTCCCAGACTGCTCCTTGTGCGCTTGTATGAGTGTTTGTGTGTAGGAGGAGGACTACGACGACGGAATGTCATTGGTCTGCCCCCCCCCAAACCGTCCCACTGTACACCCCCACCTCACTCCTCTCAGTCTTCCCTTCCCACCACTACAATGAATGAGAAAACACGCATGCATAATTAAATCCATAGTCTCGTCCTCAATTCACCCTCCCCTCCTTCCTTCACAGACGTGCATAAAAAAAAAAAAAGAAATGCTCCGGCTTGGAAGTTTGCCACCATGGGGGGGGGGGCTTCCAAGTAGAGAGATGTGACCAACCTCGCACCCTCGTATGGCCCTATTCCTTTTCATCCGGGCCCGCCGAATGGCAGGGTGGCAACAGCGGGCGAATGTAAATGGCAGCCGGTCCTGCCAGTCAATTACACTGCAACAAAGCTAATTGTTTGTTTGGTGCATACCAAAAAAGATGCGAGGCTGGCTGTTGATGGGGGCCTTTGTTTCAGCACAGATGCAAAGTTCTTTTTTCCCATCTTTTTTCCCAGACCGAACGCTGATTAAACGTGTGAAAGATGAAGCCACACGTTCAGAGCCGTTACTCTGTTTACAAAGAGCACGGAGGGGGTTTGAGCTCGCGTGTGAGCATCGCTTTTAGGATCAGAAACCTAGTGCTAGGAAAGGCTGCATTATTTCTTACATTGATGGTTAATGTGTCTTTAAATAACAGTCGTAAGTAGTTCGGATGTTTTGAAGTGGAGTTCTGGGAAAATAGTTATGAACAATTAACATCTTACCCAGTGGTGTAGTCTACATTTTTGCAGTGGGTATACTGTGCTTAGAAACCAAAGTACACCGGCTAGTACAATGTAATGTTAATTCATTTAGATTTTTAAGCCTATTGAACATTTCCAAATTTCTCTGATGCTTTTATTTGAATAAATGAACACAACAGTTGACTTTGTATTAAAATCATGTTATAGAGTTTATAAAACGGTATCAAAGCAAAATGTTCAAGTATTACGTAGTAAGTACAGAAGTATTAATTATAAAAAAAAAACAACTCAATGTATCTATAAAATGTTCCAAATGTGTTAACAATGACACAAGCCCATGTCACGTATCTTTGCCAATGATACGTGACATGGGCTCGTATCATTGGGCACTTTTAAGTGGGTATACTGAAATTCCCTATCTCTTCTAGTGGGTATACTCCGTATGCCCACGTATCGCATAGACTACGCCACTGATCTTACCTGTTGTAGATAGCTCCTTGAACAACCACAGTTTGTTGAACTAAGTTTATTTCTGCCGAAACCGATGAGCTGACAGCTCGTTCAGACTAAAATTGAATGTTGTCCTTGTATAGCACCAATCTCAAAATTGTAATAGCTGTTTAGTTTTGCATTATACATTTAGTTAGAAATCACATAATATTCCTGCAGTAAGTACTGCCACTGTTTGTGTCTTCAGATCACCACAGCATTTTATCTAAACAATGGTGTAATGTAAAGTTAACAGTAATGTAAAAGTTGTAGCACTGTTTATGTGAAACGCTAAAACAAATTGAGATGGGAGTTTTAAGATAGCAGCAAGCCTCTATGGTCTTAGCCTGCTCAGACTAGCCATTAGCTCATCAATCCTGTCGAAATCAAACTATTTCTCCAAACTGAGCCCGTTCAAAGAGTTATCTGCAACAGGTAAGATGATAACCGTTTGTAACCTTTCCACAGAACCCCACTTCAGAAAAGCTCAATAACTCATATCAATTTAAGCCATAAAGTTCCTTGTTCTGACTCGTAAGCAGTTTGGATTTATTTATATATAAATATATATAAACTTTTAGAAGCTGTATCCATAAAGCTTTTAAATTGGCGGTGTAACATTAAGCTTCTAATAAAAAGTTATGGAATAATTTACTGCTCCACTAATAAATCCTTTTCTACGTGAGCGTATAATTAATGTCCTGGGCAGTGTCAGGTCTTGTGAAAGATCCCAGAACTGGGGCGACAAGCTGAGAGCAAAGCGACAGGAGCAGAAAGGAGAAGAAAGAAAGGAGCGTAATAAATAAGCGAGAGGAAAGGCGACATTGTGAGAAAAGGGCAAACACGGCGAGAGCAGGAGGAGGTGGAAACATTAAGCGGGGGGGTGGGGTGGGGGGCACAGTGTGCTGACTGGAGCCCAGCCTGCTCGTTTTTCATCGGACAGACGAGCCGCTGGGCTGCGTTGTGTTCATCTGCAGCCAGCTCGCTGCCCACGTTGCGCAGCGCAGACCAGCTCGCCACGGGACGGCGGGTGCGTGCCTCTGTGCGTTCACACGTGTTCAGGATGTCTCCGCGTGCACGTTGAACGAGTAGCATGACTACGTGAATGAAAGCTGGTTCGGGTGCTTTTCTTTCCACCCTCGTTTTTGTGTGGTAAATGCATATGATGTGCACATCTATTAGGAAGTGGCAAAGCTTTGAATTTGGATGCTTTAAACCAGTGGTTCCCAACCCTGATCCTTGAGGAACACCATCCTGCATATTTTAGTTGTTTCCCTCCTTCAACCCACCTGATTCAGTGATTTAATTACTTCCTCATGTTCTGCAGAAGCCTGTTAATCACCCATTAATTAAAATCAGGTGCGTCAGAGCAGAGAAATCACTAAAACATGCAGGATGGTGTTCCTCAAGGAACATTGTTGGGAACCCCTTCAAAGTTTAACCCTCATCTGCATCCATTTCAGGCTGCATCCCCTTTTGTGCTAACCAGGTTCTTCCCTCTCCTCTCCCGGCTCGGTGCAGCTAATGATCCTGAATGGTCCATTCAGGGCTCCCTCGCCTCAGAACACGTCTCCCTCCCCGTCCACGCTGTTTGGTGACCTCAACGAGGAGCCTGTCGTCCTCGCTCAACTCTCTTCAGTGGCGTGACAGTTTGTGGCATGGACACTTGGAGGGGGGGAGAGACAAGCCTGCTCTACACTGGCATTGATCAGAACCAAACAAGGACTGGAGTTTATATAAAGTTAGGCGGCGACGGCGTGATCTCGTCTCGTAGAAACATGGACAGGGATGTAGAGAGAAGCCACACATACAGGCTTCTGTAAGGTTTTTCATTGTTCCTGTCTGGGCTGGGTTCCCACTTGATTCCATAAGTCTCTTAACCCTGACAGCCCTTCTGTGTGTGTGTGTGTGTGTGTGTGTGTGTGTGTGTGTGTGTGTGT